GAGTAGATGAATATATCAAATTTAAAAGAAATCGTTTAGGCTAAAAAAAAGATTGTAGCAAAACAGCTCCAAAAAAATATAGTTATGTTTTTGAAAAAGTGCCATAGGATTTTATAACTTATACCACTATTTTTACGAGTAAGGTCGTCCTTCAAAGAAATTGTTTTTTTTTACAATTAAAAACTAATTCGCTTTGGTTTGTTATGTATGCTACGTGACGTTCTTTCTCTAGTAACAGTTAGTTAATTGATATCATTATGTGTATTGTTATTTACCACTTTCTTTTTTTTTTTGGACGCGTGTAAACACTTACGTGTATGTAACACTAGCCTTTATAAATAAAATATGTAAAATAAATAGTAAACTAACAAATTTTCCGTATGCTAAAGATATCTAGCAAACGAATAAAAATGTGAATGAAATTTGTAGATCTTCTGTATAAGCGAAGCTGTAGACAAATGTGTTAGTAGAGAAGAGGGGATGAACATTTTGTAGCGAAACTGTAAGATTAAGAATTTTACTAAAGTTTTGTTCGGTGAATGGCAACTTGTAAGTAATCTAATACAAAACTATGTATATATTTACAAATATTCGGGATGGGCAACGTTGATATCTAAATCACTAAATCAAATGGTATTTCAATGCTGAAAACTAACTTTTAGCAATTTTTTAAATGTTGCATTTTAATTTTCACACAAGTTGCACAATTACCTAATGAAATAATTTAATTCCGATAAATGTTTAGACTGTGTACGGAACGTAATCGCGGGGAATTAGAACAATGTACATATTATTACAACACAACGCAACTTGGTGGTTATGCTTTACAATTCTGTAATTACACTTTTTGCACGCACTTATTTTTTTAATTTTTTTTTCTCTTCGCTGGTGCCCATCCACCGCTAGTTGCTTTTTTCACCGGCTTGTAGCTGTAAAGGTCCATGCACTGGCTGTTATATTTTAGATTTTTACACGGTTGAATCACTTTTTCACTGGTAACGACCGTTACTGGTGGGGAGGAGAGATTAACTGAAGATTTCAAATGATCATTATCAAGCTTTTTTTGCTTGATGCCTTTCCAAAAGAAGAAAATGTCTGTACAATATTAAAAAAAAAAACTATTCCGCTCAGTATTCGGAAAGATTTTTTTAAGCTAAATTTATAATTTTTTGCTGTTTATAAAAAATATTTTAAGATGCATTTGAATGTACATATATTGTAATTATTATATATTTTTTTAATTTTCAAAGCCTACACGATGCATTAGAAGTGTACCAGGTGATCCAAGCCATCAAGTCGTTCTGTTTGATTAGTGTTAGCAACAGCATATTGGTTATGAGTAAATGGACTAATTTCGTTAAATAAATTCATCAATTTAAAATTAACTTTTACACACTTCTATACTACTTTGTTTAAAATTTATTTCATTATGGAAAAAAAATGTTTTTTTATCCATACCTTTATTTTACATAAAACATGTAAATGTTAACAATGTTAACTAAAATATTAATAATAAGTTAATAAATATAATTTCGACTCTTTAGGAATTGACCTAGAACTACATAGTAGTGTTTAAAATGTAATCGGTATTGAATTAAAATCAACGGAAAAATATAGAGGGTCTTGTTTGAATTTCGATTTGGATTAAACCGAAAGTGGCAGAAAAATAATTTGTTAATATTAAACGAGCTATAATTGTAGTGACCGTATGGCTTGGATCACCTACGAAAGCCTAATTCCTGTGTGAATAGGAAAATTAGACCAAGGTTTTCATTCAGGAGCATTTGAATTAAAATATTTTACTTTCGGTATCGTTTCTTGTTATTTTATTAAACATGTGTTGTATTATTTTAGTAATTACATTGATTATAAAAAGACAAAACGTCTGATGATCTCACGCCATATCAAAAATAAGCTGCACATATATCAAAAATATTATTAAAATGTTTATAAATCCTGGCTTGTCTTTTTTTTTTGTAAATTATCAAATAGATAGTACCTCAGTGCTAGATATTTTCAAGTAAACATTGTGTGTTGTTTCCAAGAATGTACTCATGACGTACAGCCTGTTCCGATTAAAATAATTGGATGGCATGACTGCTGTATGAATTGAAGATGGAAAAAATTGAAAATATGTTCGTTAAAATGCTTATGACCGGAAATCTATGCATATTAATTTTCAGATTTCTTTGCAGTTGGTCATCTACAGGGTGATTCTAAAACATATAGTCAAACTGAAACAGAAGATAGGAAATAATATTTAAAGAAAAAAGTGGCTTTTTTGTATAACTGTAAAATGATATAATAAACCATATCCAAATGAAAAGAGGAACAGGTAGAATATATAGTAATAATTAAAAGACAGTATTTTTGTACTGTACAATAATAGATATCGATAATATTCACCGTTTCCTAGAAAATTCGAAATAAAATTATAAGCTCTAATAAATTGGATTCCAACATTCAATACTATCATGGATTGCTTTCAAATTTTAAATATGCATTATATCAGTTAAAATTTGAAAAGAAATTGTAAGGAAAGTGGATCTAGAACTCTCTAATATTTTGTTAAAGGTCTATTAAAACACAGGAGTCAATAAAGTTGGAAGTCTATCTCGAAGGGAATAGATTTTAACGGCAATGTTCTTAACATGTTTTCTTATTTTAGACGGGGCGTTTATATGCGCAATTTTTTGTCCAAGACTTTAGAAAAACTGAACAAGTTAAAAACATATCTTTTCATTGGTACAATGTTGTATAAAGTTTCTTCATGGTATAAGACAATTGACAATACATTAAAAATAATGAAAAAAAGCATATTTTTACCTCGTATCTTTATCTTACGTTTCCTGAATTTTTCACGTCTTTTGAACATAAGGAAAATCGCGTACGGTGCTATAAACATAATCACACGCCGCAGAATACTTTTAGGAAACTATTGACACATGCATTAATCCCAATTATTGAGTATGTTTACAAATTTGCTGGGTAAATCAGGAAAGATATATTTTCTGATATTTACATGTTCTCCGTGATGTTTCAATGCGAGAAATTAAAGGAATCGCTCTATAGTAGGATCAAATTCGATGCAAAGTAATAAATCATTGCCTGTCAAGGGATCCAGTGCAATACGCTTTTAAGTTGTTTAGAAATTGAATAATTTCTTTATACATTATGAAGGAACGAAGGGATCAGTTCACGTCTGGCACCCTTGTTCCTACAAAAAATCATTTATTCTCATAAACTATTTATTTTAAATGTAATTTATTATAAATCCAATTTGTTTTTTAAATTCCACATATGTACTACATTTTACTTCTGTACGCGCCACTGTTGTTTACTTGTTTTTTGGAGTCGGTCTCTGATTTACGACCAAGCTCGCCAGGTTAGTATCTGACGTATAACCGACAACTTCGTACACTCGATGCACCTGGGCGACTACAGTTATTACCAGAACACAGTGCGCATTCAGCGGTGTTTCAGATTTTACATTCAATTTCATTTTAAATTTGAATTGGTTCATCTTACGCCTCCTAAAAATGATACGATTTTCCCTTGATAAAAGACCGACAGTTTTTTGCTCTACTTTGCATCCAATACGATCTTACTATAGTTTAGCCTTACGGTTCGTCATAGCATGGATCTATTTGTTCTATTATTGTCTTATTAAAAATGCGATTTCTTGTCTATAAAGCGTCAGCCTTAATTGATATACTGCATCGATAAAATTTTAAAATAATTCATGGCATTTTTTATTTTCGAATATGTTTTTAATGCATGAAAACTTCTATTGCCAAATTTTTTACAAAATTGGTACAGATGCTATTTTTATTTAAAATGAGATTTTCTATTTCCTGTCTCAATTTTGAAAGTCACCCTGCATAGTGCCTAATTTTTATTGATCAAACAGGGAGGGAGAAGTAGATTATTAAAAAGGTTTTTTTTTGAAAATTGACCACACTAATATTTTCCAGAAAAAGCGCTTCAAAAGATATCGTGTAGGTACTGTCATTGATTAAATTGTGATCAAACAAACGTGATCTTCAAAAAAAAATGCGGTTTACGTTTCTTATTAACGGAGATAATCCGTAAATAAATTGTAAAATAAATTGACATTAAATTAAAAAAATACATTGCAAAGTAAGTGAAGAGAAGTCTCATAACAACAAACTGTTCGAAGTTATCTTCTTCATGTTCAATGCACAACTGAGCTCGCCGAATCTAGAATGCATCACACCATCACAGGCGAAGCGTATACCTATCCCTTGAATTGCCTCGGCGTCAACATGACTCAATTCTTCCGCAGTGTTAATTTAATTTATAATCTCTTAAATTATCTCGGTTCATAAAAAAATATATTTTTATGTAGTTAGGTTAAAAATCATTTGTTCAACCCAATTTAATCAATGACACTACTGTCAGTACCTATACTCTATGTCTATACCATGTCATGTGAAAAGCTTTTTCCGGGAATTGAAATTGAAAATAACTTGATAAAAAAGCTTTTATTCACAGTAATTTGTGTACCAAGTACTCCCTCATGACACATTTTAGGAGCTATGTTCATTGTTTACAGTTACATTAAGTTTTTGACATTAACGTGTAGAATCATTCCTCGAGTTTAAACGCATAGCTATATTTTTTTTTTTCAAAAAACAGGATTAAAGGAATAGTAATATTTTTTTTGGGATGACTATTATTTGATTCTCAACTCTTATTTTTTAATAATCCACATGTTGCTAAAGTTTGTTCAATAAAAATCGAATCACCCTGTATAGGTACTTTCAATTATAATTCACTATCTATTTTTCCGACATTTACATCGCGTCTTGAAAATTAATTAATGATTACGTGCGACGAAAACAAAAAAAATGTAAAACCCCACCCGTAACTGTCTTTACCAGCGTACACTCGTTGCGTGCAATCGTCAGCGTGTGCTGCGTGACGTTGCGATATATCTCGCAAACTAACTGTGATGCCTGTCTCTGTGTTGGGTGCAGTGACCTCCCCGAAGACCGCTCCACTGTGCTACTTCTGGGCGTCACCAGGATACCGACGTCGCCCGCGCCGACGCGCCGCCCCTGCTCCCTCGCCCTAACCTCCCACAACCACCATTCCTTCCCTGCTCTCGTAGACGGCCCCCAGGTGCGCCGCAACTCCCTTTCCTCCAGCAGGCGCGGCGTCGTAAGGAGAAATTCTTCTAGAAAGAGGGAAGGCCGCCACTACTGTCAGGTCAGCGGCATGACAGTTCATAGATATACCGAAGGCTCAGGGAAAGAGGGCAGTGCGTTTGGCGACGCACAGAGCCTTCATAAATGATTACAAACCACGTGACCAGTAATTTTGTTTTCAACGGTAATTTTATTTCCTTGACGTTGGCAAATAAATTTCGATGCAACAATATTCTATTTCATCGGCCGTGATTGGTGAACCAATGACTTTGCATTATCTCGAGCGTAGGCGTAACGGTTTGTTACTGTTCATTATAAACGAATCATTAATATTGCTGACGCCAAAATTTAGGTACCAACCGTGAATTGTTGTGTTGCCTAAGCTCGGCTTGTAAATATTTATGAAGACTCTGTATATTGTAAGCAGAAAGATAAAATGATCCTAAATTGTCCCTGGATATTGTCAGGACGGACAGTACATACGTAGAATTATTTATACATAGCGTAACTAAATTGCAAGGCTAAACTTTGATGGTGGATCCTACGTCACCCTTTAATAAAAAAATATAAACATGTTTGTAAATGCTTCGTTTTGAAGATACTATAGGGTCCAAAAATAATAGAAGATCTGATTTATTATTCAAGTTGCAATAAATAGTTTAAGAAAACCACAAATATTTTTTTTCATTTATGGAAAACGCGATTACTTGAATTATTATCATTATTTCAAAAATAATTTACTGTCATGATCTATTATGAATAATTTTCTATACATTTAGTTTATCATTTACCTCGAAATCGGTGCATTCTGGCGACATGAACACATTTTTTGTAAAGCCTTTAGTGCTTTATAATAATATCGTAATAGTGACTTACAGTTTACAAAATTTTGGAAGCAAAAATTACTTAGTCCACGCCATATACAGGTTCGGAAAGTACCGATGGTCCATCTGCCGTTACGTGAGAGCGATAAAGTAAGACATAGAAATCCATGTGATAGAGAAGGATGGCTATAATGAAGGCGTCTCATAGTCACCGCCCGTTTCGCCCTTCCACAAATAAGATCCACTTCTTATTTGTGGAAGGGCCAAATGGGCGGTGACTACTAGACGCCTTCATTATAGCCATCTTTTTCTATCGCACGGATTTCTATGACTTACTTTATCGCTCTCACGTAACGGCAGATGGACCATCGGTACTTTCCGACCCTGTATGAAACAACTATGGTATGCTCATATGTTTGTGAACAATCAAAAACTAATGCCGTACACCCAGTTTGAAAAACAATCATTTTGTGTCTCGAATTCAAAGCATTTTTGGAACATAGGAACATTTTTGTTAATTTGTGACATAACTATTTGCTATTAAAGTTTGGCCAAACACTTTAATTACACCCTGTATAATTTTTTTTATCGTAATGGATGACAACAAGGAAGATAAACTTCTTCTAAATATTCTATGAAATTTTGATCTGAATATTAATTTACGCAAATCCCACGTCTTGCGTAGAAGGCAGTTTTAGTGGGTGGCTGTTACTATTTTAGACCTTTTTTTATTTACACCCATATTTATTTATTTTTTAAATCTTGATGTCCAGATTGTTTGGGAAAATGGTACCAACTCTTGAGTAAATAGCAAAAATCAATTCGTTTTCGAGAAATTCAGATTTACATATAAAATTTACAAATTATTGTCTTTATGGTATAATTTCTAATTAAAATATTACAGAACGCGATTGCATATGCTCTCAGTTTTGAACACATATTGTAAACCAACTGCTGGAGTTATGTTATCGCTAAAAATATTAAAATTTGCTTAAATATATTCTTAATATCTACTGTCCACGTTTAAAGGCAGATCTCTACAAACCTGGAAAATCGGAAAAAATCATGGATTTTTGCATGACCCGGAAAAATTAAGGAGTTTGATTTGATTCAGGGGAAATTTATACTTACATATAAAGATGTAAAAGTAAAATAGGGAATGATGTATGAGGAAATGGACATCCAACCTGTTGCTTTTGTCGCAAAATTAATTTTAGAGAGAAATTCATTCTTACGGTCATGGAAACATTTTGATACATTGGGAAAAGTCAGGGGGAACTTAGGGAAAATATACTTTATATATCCTGAAAGGGGTATATCTGTCTTATTATCCATTTTCGGAAAAAGGTTATTTTATTATGTTCTATACGCCCTGAAAATATCGGGAGACAATTTAGGACCACCGTGTATAAATAACGACAGAAAAATGTTATCAGTGCTGCTGTTTGCATAATCATTTGTTAATTTGTGGCGTCATTTTCAGTATAGCAGTGATAACGACCTCGTTGTATATGGTGTACCAAGAAGATATAACCTTATTTGTTTTTTTACAGTTTTCCAAATTTTTGAATTTCGATTTCTTTTTGCAGTTCATTACATCAATAATTATTATCTACAATTTAGAATTGATCTCTCAAAACAATGCCATTTTTCAACTTGAAATATGTACATATATGCTGTTAGCTAAACGTATACCCTCTTTCTTTTTTTTGGGTCGCTCTGTATAACGTGCGGATACGGAAGTAGTTAAGTAGGTTACAATTCCTGCAAAACCTGGTTGTGTCTACGGAATATGATATTCTTTGAATTAAATTCTAGAAAACTGCTAAATTTAAAACTACCAAAATACGTATGGGTTATGTAGAAAAAAATCATTTTGTTTACTTAAATACTCAAATTTTAAAAATTCTATCAAAATTGAAAAAAGGAAACGTATTAACATTTTATTTGGAATTGCTGAAATATTCAGGGCCGAATTAACCTATGGTGAGGCCCGGGGCTACAAGCTAAAAAAAAGTCAAGCGATCAGCGACTTCTAAACACTTTTTGATTCCATTCTAAAAAAAGGTCAAAATTTCAAAACCTACACACTTTTTGGTTTAATTTTACCAGATTTTGCTGCCAAAGCCCCCCCCCAATCTCGTGGAAGTTTGGCGACACTGCAACCAATTAGAACTAATTACCACCAATATATTTTTAAGTAGAATAACAAAAGTTATATATTTAGTAATAGGCTTAAAAAAATAGTTTTCAAGAAAATGTTAAAACGTTTCTGAATTAGCTTTCAAAAAGTTATTTTTTTCTCAACGTTTCAAATTATCTCTTAAGAAGTGAACACACCCAATAATTTTGCGGGGATTGACTACGATGTGTTCCGATTTTTATCGCCCACTGCTTGAGGTAGGTGCCCATTGTCAACGTTACCTCACTCTCCGACTGTGACAGAACCAAGTTTTTGACGAAATGCTCCGAGAATAGGGTAAATCCCCAAACCAGCTTGACACCGTCCAACTGTTTTTCCCATGACGGTTACGTCGACGTCGCGACGCCGACTGTGATGGAGCGCTCAGTGGACTCCATCGGGACTTGCTCCCTGGACGTAGAGGCGTCCGTCTGCGACGTGTCAGGTAGCGTGTTTGCGATGACTGGTGTTTTTCTTTTCACCAAAGAGCTGTTTGGTTAATTTTCAAGACTTATTTTTCTTGTATCTGTAATAAATACATTGGTTACAAATAAGACTAAAATCGCCATATGTCACTATTTAATATTTTTCACTTCAAATATATGAAAAAGTGACAAGTAATAAAAATTAAGAAAAAAATAAAAAACATTACCTAATTTTTAAAATTGAAAATTATGTTAATAAACTACCTTTGAAAATAATTTCTAGAAATAAAAAAACAAACCTAAAATTTAAAATCTATGGAAATACCTACTTGGTAAAACTTTTCTTTTACTGATACTAATCTATCCAAAATCTCAATGATAAATAAGAAATGTAGTCTTGAAAAGTTCTATCCTAATCTCCTTATTTTGGTTTTTATTTCTCCATAGATAGGCTCATTTTGTTGGGTCTCATATGACTAAGGAAGGCAAACTAATACCTTTTGCTGCTTCCAGCTACAATAACTTGTGTGTCAACTATTTATTCGCTTACAATAATGTGCTTATTTATATTTGTATGCTTTCTTTGGTAGCGAAAGTGAAAATTTTCATTGAAAAATATATTGACAATTATTTATTAATGTATTCTGTTACTAGAAATGTTTTTATTTTTTAACATTAAATAATTATAGATGATGTAATAATTATCTAGTTTATAAATAGACATTACATTTCACAATTTTATACCAAATTTTTTAATGATTATAACAGGATATATTTATTATGACTTATAGATAGAGAGATAACATAATTTTGTTATAATTGTTGTATAATCACTATTTCAGCTTAAATAAATGTGAGTTGTTGGAAATCGGTTATCTACATTGTAAGTGTAATTATTATATAAAACAAAGATGAACTTTGATAAGCCATACATACATAATTAATTAGATATTTGATCATTTTTACGTAATTATAAATTAATTCCAATAATATTAATAAATAAAAAATTGTACTTGTTAGTAATATCAGATTAAATTTTCACCTTTTTGTAATAAAAAAAAGTTGGGATGCATATGATAAATATTTATAGTCTATTTTACAATTCCTAATTTTTTGCACTTTTGGTGCTTATAAAAAGACAGTTTTACAAATAAAATTTTAACCTTTGAAACTTAATCATTTTTATTTATAACTGTCCAAACTCAGATAATGTTTATCAGCTGTCAGGTGCAGATGGTATTCAGTCCACCCAGTTAAATATTCATTTAAGTTGAAACAACTCTGGACTAGAGGCCACTGTTCATTTACCTGTCGAGGTCTTACGTAAGTTTAATAATATGGTAATGTATGCAACATTATTTTCTATTATGAATTTTAAGCAGACAAGAAATGTTAATGTATACACAATTTAGTAAATAACCGATAAAATTATAAGTTTATACCAACTCGAATAGCTAATATGTACTCTAAATTAATAGTAACTTAAGCCTAACAAATTCTAATGCTTTGCTAAATAAATCAGCTAATATCTAATTCATTAGTAGTCATAGTAACTTGTAGGCTGAACTGATCAAGGTTAAATATCCTACATTAACAACAGCACAGTATATTTACATGTGAAACTAATTACATTGTATGTTTTAGATTGGTCTGAATTATCTTCAGTTGGAACCCTTCGGAGCACTAATCTGGTGACACCATCCCCTCCTGAGCCGCACTTACCCTCTTATCTGAGTTTGGCTTGCACAGTGAACGGCTACTCGACTACCACGAATTACGATCCGATTCGACTTGCCAGATCCAGAGATGCTTCCCCGCACAGAATTGACTCTGATTTGACACCCAACAAAGTTACATACTCAGTGCAGAATAACTTGCTGTCGCCTCCGAATCTCGTGCCCCTACCCACCAGGTCAAAACCAAAAAGTGAAATGGGGGAGAATACCTTAACGCAGCATCACCACCAAGAGTTTTATAGCTCCACGAAAACCATGAGCTTTATGAGTAAAGAGACTCATTTCGCTTCAAACTTGTTTTCGGCAAAGGATACGATCGATGGGTGCCTAGAGAATGGACATCACAATATCCACAGTAAATGTGTTAGTTTTGAGAGTAAGAACATCACTTCAATTAACGGACAGAATAAGTGCACTTCGGAAACATCGATTAGGCAAGAATTTTCTAATGGAAACGAGACAAAATCATTTATTCAACAGAGGGTTGAGCGACTTTATGGGCCAGGAGCCCTTGCGCAGGGATTTTTTGTATCGAAACGACAGAAAAATCGTCTCTCTGAATCAGAGGATAAGAATACCTCATTAAACTCTGAAATACACTCAAAATCCATGACTGATAAACTGATAGAAGATGATCTGGAACCTTCAATGAAACAGAGCACTAGCAGCCCCACTCTACCTGTTCTGAGGCATTTGAGACCAGAATTCAGGGCACAGTTGCCCATCATTAGTCCAAGAAAAGGTGTGGAAAGTTTAATGCAGAAAAGTGTTACAGTTCCTAAGCTGAAGGATGAGACAAAGGTGAACGGTCATTCTAGTACTGAAGAGGAAGTTAAAATATCTGCACTTAAGGATGTTAGCAATGGACATGCCGAGTTGATTATTAAGGAAAAGTCAGGTGAGTGTGTTTGTCATATTTATCATTTCATTGAGCGAACAATACGAGGTATTTTGAAAAAAGGTATGGTGAATTCAGGAGCTGATAAAACACACAAAAACAATTTCTTCCTATGAACCATGGTACTATTGAATTTTGCTTTTGAGATACAGGACAAAATAAATGTATTGCATATTGTAGGTACAAGTAAGTTTTTAAGGATATGTCCCAGAAATATTTTAGACTTAACTTTTTTGAGGTTAGGTTTTCTGCACTGTATGAGATATATCATTATGTAAAATTTAATTTAATTAATTTAATATTTTTTTAACAAACTGTTTTAAAATATTGTATATTCCTGTTGTCACATATGAGACTGGTTGATTCCATCTTGGAATGTTCTTAAGGACTGTTTCGATATAGACTATTTCCGGAACTAAACAAACACTTTATTTTACTGTAAAAATCAATCATTTTACCTGACGCAAATATTTGTCAACATAGCCATTACTGTATCAATCAGAAATCATTTGTCGCTGTCACAGCCCCAACAGTAAAAGTTTTGTCGAGAATTATTTATAGAAAATGATGGAAGAAGACATTCAGTGCATGCCGTCTGAAATTTGGGAAAGTCATTAGAAACATGTTTCAAAATTCTACCACAAAAATCAGTCGAAAAATACAATCGTCAGTATGATTCATGGAATGGTACAAGAAACACAGAATTAAAAAATATAGTGGTATATCTTTCCGAGTTATCGAAAGAGTATTCTCCTTCTTCAATGTGGTTGTATTGTTCCATGGTGAAAGCAACCCTTTCATCAAAAAATGATGTTGACATTAATAAATATATAAAACTTACGGCTTTTTTAAGACAAAAAGGAAAAAATCATATTCCAAAAAAGTCCAAAACTCTTTCACAATAAGAAATATTTAAATTTTTAGTAAATGCACCAGATAAAATCTACTTGATGATGAAGGCAATTTATGCTAACTTCTCAAAAATAATTTCATATAAATGTAGTAACTATTTTATATTTGTGTTGTGTTTGGCATTGCTGGCTTTACGTAATGAAGAACTTTTGAATTTAAAAGGAAGTGACAGCACAAAGAAACAATTCTGGTTGTTCATGTAATTAAAAGAAAGATCAATAGGCCTCGAATATTTGTGATCACTTCAGAGTTTGATGGAAGAGTAAAATCTGTACAATTATTTAACAGATACTTAGCTCTGCGTCCTAAATAGATTCCCCAGGACCGATTTTTCCTAACTTGTAGAAATGGTAAATGCACAGTCCAACCAGTTGGATTCCCTAGTTTTGGAAATGTACCAAGCAAAATTGTCAACTATCTGCATTTGCCAGAACCATCGCTTTATATGAGACATTGTTTTCGTCGCTCCTCCGTCACTCTCTTTGGCAACGCAAGCAGCAGTAAGGAAAATTTAAAACCACAACAAACACTAAAAATTAAAATAACTCAGAAACGCACAGGAATTTCGAAACAGAAGAAGGGACAATATTTTTCTTAAACTGAATGTAGATAATGAAAATAACAGTTTTTTAAAAAAATAGTCATTGGCGTAGAAGTTCTGTTTAAGAAAGGGGTTGAGCACCCCCCTCCACTCCGCCACTGTGCAAGTTTTTGAACATTTTTATGGCTTGTTTTATGCCCCTTAATCAATACGCATTATCTCCCAAACATGAAAAAAATCTGAGCATTCGTTTATAAGTTATAATGAATATTCGAGAAAAAAAAATTATATTCAACACCCCGTATCTCGGAAACGAAACCTTCTACGACATATGTTTATAGGAACTTTTCTTTTTAAAAACATGTGTTCTATCTCCTGTTAAGCCATTTTCCATAAGGTTTGTGCGGGGTCCTTTTTACGGCTGGCGAATAAGTTTTTTTTTGCACCATGCCAGTAAACTGTCTTTATCGAACTCACCTGTTACTCACCTCACTTGTTTCATGCGCTCGGCTCATAATCTCAGACTTATTCAATAAAGAATCACTTTACTAACTTGGTATATAAATAACTATTACCATTCTCACTTTTATTTATTTTATATGTTGTAACTTACTCATCTTCTTTGAATTCTATGAACTAAGAATGGAATTTAATATATCAGATATTAAAATACGTATTTCTGTACATCAGTAAAACAGATTTGTCTATGATTTGGTAACATTTTCAAATAATACCAAATTTTACAGAGGTTAGGCGGATTAAAAAGAGAAATTAATAAAAGTATTTAACCTGCATTATAAATAGTATCGTCACCAAAAAACTTGTAAACGATCTTCTAACCGTTTTCTCAAGACAATTTTACACAACAAAAAAATACTTTGTGTATTAACTGTGCCAATGTCAACTAATTTCTATCCATAAATACAGAATCCTTCCTTAATAAAACATTGGAGCAAATCTTTCAGATCATTCTAAAAAAAACTTAATATACACATTTGTCCTAAAATGCTCGAATCATGAGTCGAATCAACCTTAGGCATTGGCTTCATATTTCTTATACTAGATTAAAGTCCAGTGGTATTACTGTTGCCATTGCAATTGTATTTTTCACCTGAAAGTTCAGTTGTGATTTGTTCTAAAGGCAAGTCTTGTCGAATATATAATGCATCAGTAAAATCTGCTGATTGTGAGTGTAAACTTGCTATAGCTACAGACAAGGGATTTCCTATTTCTAGGAGATTTTCTATCATTAGCCGATTCCAATTCCATCTAGTATCGATTGCTTGTTTAATTTTTAGGGTAGGTAGCCTCATATTTCACATTTTTTAATTTGCCTGTAGCAAGGCCACTATATTTAAAATAGACAACTAAATTGTTACATTATATGAAATTACCTATATTTATTTGTTCCTTTTGTTTAAAGACTTATAATAATTAAAGTTTGCACCACATGTGAATAGTGGTCCTTTTACTAATGCTCTAGACCTGCATTTTTTACATTGCTCCCTTGTCTGAAATGATGGTTATGATTTTTTTTATTAATGCCCTGTGTGATATTTTGAACTCATCTCTTTAAAACATTGGAATGCAAAATGCTGTTATGGAGAAATGAACAAGGAACGGATATTGTCTGGTTGCCAAATATCCGGTTAATGAAACATATTTTACTTATAATGTAACATGAATTTTAATTTTGCGACATACCTATTGTCTGAAGGGATTTTTTTCAAATATATCTGCTTGTGATTTTATACAGGTACAAATTCTTGAGAAATGATGAAAACAATTTTAAAAGACTTAAACCATGTTGTTTTTTTTTATTTGTTGATAATTTAATTAGAATTTATATCGCCAGAGTTTTAGCTGTAGCCTTCTTTCTGACATTGGAATTGACTCTGAATAGGTAACCGTTTTTAAGTTTTGGTGTAAAGAAGGACATGTTGAGGTATTAGGAATATATTTTGTTTGAGGTCTATTTTCACTTCCATGGTTCCATGATATGGAAATACAACGGAGGCCTATCATTGGGATTATTCTCATTTTCTTCAGGAATATCAGAATTTTTTTTTATTATTCTAACACTCATATACAGGCAGTCCTCGTACTTACGGCATGTTCAGTTCTCAAAATATATAATGTAAATCGAAACTACGTATGTCAATCCTTTTTTTTTCAACCATTTCTATATAAAGTGAAGGAATTGGGTTCTATCAGAACATATAATGTAAAATAACTACATATTCAGTAAAAACTACAAAATTCAGTAAAAAAATTTTTCGATAAACGTGGGTCCACAATTGCTTACTTTTCGATATGCAAGATGTTAGTTTTTTTATTTTTTTCAATTTTTTACTAATAATTTCCAAACGGATTTGAATGTTGACATAAAACTTGGGGTACGGGGGTTTTTTAAGATGCTAAATTTAAATATGTATTTGCTTTTGGCGCTGCTTAGAGAAAAAAATATCTGAGGAGGTATATCGGGTTTACTAAAAATGCACAGATGTACTTGAAATTTATATAGCGTATTACCCAGTGCTCCCTCTGTGCGTCATATTTTTTTGAATCTAGAATTTGAGATATTGTTGTTGAAAGTTGTTCATTTTAACATAGGTTTATATGGCAAGCAAGGCAGAAATACATTTGAAAGACTTGATAAAAACGAAATTGATTTCAAACATATACATTTTTCCCAAATCCCATGTACATTGTTATAACAATAAATTGTCCACAACAGATTTTTTTTTGTAATGTTTTAAAAAAACTAAATTAATTAAAAAAGGCTAGGAAGCTGTGATATATTTATTAGAATAAAAAATACAGTTGATAAATCCTTTTAATATATTTAATGGTTTATAAAAACATTGTAATCCATACCCAGCAATATTTAGGGTTACATAAAGTTTTCTTTACTTGAATAATATAATTAGTAATACTTGAGAAAACAGCATTTGTACAGAATAACAAAGGAACATCAATATTTCTCAGCAAACTTTATATCTAAAAAATTAGTTATAGTTGCAAAACTTTTGTAACATTACTAAAATAGAGATTAAAAACACGAACAGTGAGTAATAATGTAATTTCTATCACAGA